CAAATACAGTTCTCTATTTTTAACATAGACCTTTGGAGGGTTTGTTATTTTCAAATCAAATCTATTAAGCCTCATGAATACATTATTCCTCATTAAGATTCTTTCTTAATTCTCTTGACGTGTCGAAGACAGGGTATCGGTGAATAATTTATAAGTGAAAGTCATTTATAATATTTATCTTAGAAATTAAAGTGAATAGGACATAAGAAAAAAGTGGGGGGGGGGCGGAAACACAAGTAACTGAGAAAGAGGGTGAGACAATATAGGAAAAGCTGAAGGTTAATTTTAACACTAATGGCACACTCCGAGCTTATTGTGCAGGCAATTTTACCAGAGTTTGTCGTATGAACTATATTGGCTAGCAAGTCAACTCATTTCATAAGACATTGAGAATTGTTGTGATTTAAAAATTACTAAAAGTAAAGTTTTTTAAAAGCAAAACAATTATGTGCCCTTGTGGATAAATGAGGTGATAGGAACTATTCCTGGGGATCCATAAACCAGTATAAGATATAAAACATTATTATTACACTATTTTTAATACATATTTTTAATACATACTACTGTACATGTAAAACATTTTGCCTAGTGATGAAATGTTTGTTTATGGCGGCTCTGTGCAAAATTCCTTCCACCAGAAAATGACATCAGGATAAGATGGTGCTTTCCAAACATTTTGTTTATTGGCCCTAAGGAGGGTCCCTTTGAAACAAAATTCCCAAATAAGTTCATCACCCCAAAGAGTACAAGGAAATATGTGAGCTGTTCTTGAAGCAGGAAAAGAGAAGTGGCTCTTTAGAGTTGATGGAGGCAGTAAAGGTAGTATTTGGGAGCTGACATATTTGGTTAGGAAACCAGGAGAACAAAAATTATATCAATGTTGGTTGCCATCAGTTCACAAACATTAAGCAATACCGTATTTTTCGGACCATAAGACGCACTTTTTTTCCCCCAGAAGTTGGGGGGAAAGTCCCTGCGTCTTATGGTCCAAATATAGCCTACACATATACTTAAAAAAAAAAGTTTTTTTACTTGCCCGGCTCTGTGTGGTCTCCGTGTGCTTGCCCGGCTCTAAAATGGTTCTAAATGCTGCTGTTTACTTTACAGGGTTGATTACATGTGTTTATGACTGTGATGTTGGGTTTTAATGCACATAAAATATTTTAGGACACTATTTGTTTCAGAATCTTTTTTTCTTCATTTCCCTTCTCTAAAAACTTGTGCGTCTTATGGTCCGGAGCGTCTTATGGTCCGAAAAATACGGAAATTAGAGGATCCAAGATGGCTGCTCGGGTAAACACCTAACCGCAGCAGCACACAACAATTTCAATGGAATACAACTAAAATGTAGAGTGGACATCGCCCAGAGCTACAGGTAGTCGACTGACTGAAAATTCTACAACAAGAAGGAAAGAGAAAACCAGAAGGAAAATCAGAGGAGCTGAAAAAAGCCTAAGGTACGGAGACATGCTGCACGCCCGCATGCACGAGTGCAGAGAGGTCGCAGCCGGAGAGGAGGAGAGGGCTGGGTGCTGCCTGGCATTCCCTGGCAGGAAGGAAATAAACCCCCAGCCTGGGCTAAACCCCGAACCGGCAGCGCTGAATCCCAGTTATGAGCCAGACCCTAGGGGAGACAGGGCTGTGAGGCGGAATCCCAGGGGAGAGGCAAAAAGCAGGGCCCCCCAGAGTCGCGCGCACATTGCGCGCAGAGGACTGAATGTTGACTCTGATGCGGCATTGCCCTGGCCGGAAGAAACAAAGCCTCCAGCGGCACTGAACCCCAGTCCGGACTGCTCTGAACCCCAGTTCTAGGTCAATCCCTGGGGACCCAGGCTTAAGCAGAAGGAGATGGGGCTGTGAGGTGGAGTCCTGGGAGAGCAGCGAAAGGCCGAGCCCCTGGAGTCCCGCACATTGCTTGCAAGGGAAGGAATGTTGACTCTGATGCGGGATTGCCCTGGAGGAAACAGGAGCCCTGGCCGTGTTGGGCCACAGTTTCGACTGCTCTGAACCCCAGTCCTAGGCCAGACCCTGGGGACCCAGGCTCAGGCAGGGGGAGACGGGGCTGTGAGGCGGAATCCCAGGGGAGCAGCAAAAAGCGGAGCCCCCAGAGTTGCACACACTGCGTGCAGAGGACAGTCTGTTGACTCTGATGCTAGACTCCCCTAGCGGGAGGGAGAAAAAAAAGCTCCAGACCGGAGGAACGCGACGAGGAGCAGGAGCCCCTGCCTGACACCGGCCAGCCGGGCACCAGCAAGGAGCCAGGCGACGGGGCCCCCGGTGGGGGGGGGGGGGGGGGGTGCTGAGCGCAGGCAATGGAGCCAAGGCCACTGAGCGCAGGCAATGGAGCCAAGGCCGGGGGCTGCTTCCTGGGCGGCGCCGACCCCGGCAACAGGCTGAAGCAGCGCAGGAGCCCGTGGAGAACAAAGGGGCGCCGCAGGCCAACCTGCTGAGCTTCCAGGACAAGGAGGAAGAAACCAAAGAAGTTCTCAATGTGAAGAAATCAAGTGAGAGCAAAAGATAGTAAAATTACTTAAGAAAGAATACAAAGAAGATCTTGAAAAATCAAAGACTAAGTCAGAACTCAACTCACCAGCCAACATTACAACATAAATGCGTTTAAAAAAAAAAAAAAGGACAGAATGTTGGAACAGCAGCTGCCAGGCCTAGAGTGGCCAGGCACAAGGCAGTGGCAGCCGGGCCCGGAGCAGCAACGGCCAGGTCCCAGAGCAGCAGCAGCCAGAACCAGAGCATCAACAGCCAGCACTGAAGCAGCCAGACCTGGGGCAGTGGCAGCCAGGCCTGAGGCGGAGGTGGCCAAGCCCAGGGTGGCCAGTCCAGGAACACCCAAACCCGAAGTGGCCAGGCCCGGAGAAGCTGGGCCTAGAGCAGCCGGGTTGGGAGCAGCCAGGCCCAGAACAGCAGTAGCCAAGCCTGGAGCATCCAGGCCGAGAGCGGCCAGGCTCAGAGCGGCCGGGTCCGGGGCAGCCGGGTCTGGTGTGGCCAGGCCCGGAGCAGCAGCAGCCAAGTCCAGAGCAACTAGGTCGGGAGCGGCAGTGACCAAACCCGGAGCAGCTGGTTGTGGAACGAACTAGAGCAACAGAGGCCAGGCCCGGAGCAGCCAGGCCCGGAACAGCTTGCTCCTCGCCTGCCCCTGCCCCAAGGCTGCCTCTCAAAAATGGCTGGAAACTTTTGCGGGAACTTGAGAGTCTGCTGAATCAAGTGATGAAGGCTTAGATCTGGATGTGTTGAGTTAGTATAGCGCTGGGGTATTGATCTGTGAGTGCCTTGGGTGGGGCCCGGATGAAGTTGGTTGACTTATTTGGAAATGTCTTTTGTGTGAAGTGTATCTTTGGGCATGTGGAGGTATTATTGATATGAGAAAATGCTAAGTAACTGATTTACTATCTGAAAAGGGATTTACTATCAGGGAAAGGGAGGGAGGAAGAGACTGAACATAAACTGTGCACCTATGGATGAGGACAATGGGGGATGGGGAGGGGGCAGAGGGTGGGGTGGGAACCTGGTGGAGGGGGGAAGAAATGAGGAACCTTTGTAATAATATGAACAATAAAGATTGATTTTTAAAAAAAGCAATAATTAGCAAGTAGTTCATTAAATCATTTTGAGGCTGATTACCTAGTTTTCATTAGATCCAACCTGATTATTTGGAGACGCTAGATATACCTATATGACCTACCTTAGATAATTATTAAATGAGCTTACTCTCAACCCACAACAGCTTAAAATTTTAAATAGTTTTCTCTAGTCCAATTCTAACTATTATTTTTATATTTGAATTAAGTGAAATCAAGAACTAAAAATATGTACTATTTAATAACTATGTATGGTGCCAGGTGGGTACTGGAAATATCAGAGGAAACACTTTGTAAAGTATATGATTGTCTAACCACTATGCTGTCCACCTGAAACTAATGTAAAAGAATGGAAAATAAATATACATATACGCTTAATCTAAGCAACATAATGCCAGAAAAACAAGATAAATTTGAACAATTCAATCATTCACAAAATTGCATGATCATGGTATTTATTTACGAAAAAAAAATTTTTATCTGTCTATTTAGCATTACCTATATGCAACAATAATTACTACAGCAAATCAAATTATTATAAGATTTTTTCTAATTTTAATCAAATTTATATAACTTTTAATGATATTATACATCTTTTTCTTTTGCTAGGGAACACAGTTATCATCCAAATAGCCACATTAACATGTTTTCAAATATTTTACTGACATATAAAAATAGTTTAAATTTACACCTAATTATTTTCCTACTCTTGGTTTCAGCAATCATCACAATTTTCTGAAATATACACAGAGTTCATGTTGTCCCATTTTTCTCTCATTATATTCACACCCATATACCTGCTTAAATTTACACCCATCTTACTCTAATTATATTTTGAAATAGCTAATACTCTTGATTTTCAAAAAGCAATAGTAAGTTATTGTGTGAAATAGCTGTGTTGGAAGGAAGACAAGTCATTTTAACATAATAAATGTCCTTTTCTGTCGATAATAATTTCAGAATGTAAACGCATACTTAAAACTGGTTTTGAAGGAAAATGTTTTAAAAAACAAAATCATGAAAAAGGGAGATATATGTACTACTACTATGTGTAATACTTTGAACAATAAAAATAAATAAATAAATAAATAAATAAATAAATAAAAAGCAAATTCATGTGATGAGATTACTATACGCTGTATGTTTGAAATCTTGGCCACAAATTTTAAATTACCTTTGCATTTTTTTATTTCATGATTGTATTCTACAATAACTAAGTGCTATGACTAAGATTACTGAGCTGTGTAACAGTCAATTGAAGTTGCAGTCTCCCTGTATTAGCTTTTCAGACAGGGAGCTTCCTCCCATGCAGCATGTATCTGAAATGAAGACATTTCCTATAACCATTGGCTGTCCTCACTTTTAAAATTAAGAAAAAGAAAATATAAATTATAATTATATACTCACCTTTTGGTGTCTTGAAATAGTCCGGCAAAGTTAAAATGAATGTCATCACTATTGCTAAAAGTAATTTAAGGAGGGCTGTTTTTGTCATGTCTGTTCACATGGCACACATGTTCCCATCCAGCGCATTGATGGCAAGTTTCTTCCTGCTTTAAGTTTCATCTCTGTGGTACTTTAAGTTTATGCAATTGACCTCATACTTCCTTTTGAGTAAGAATTAAGAAGAAGAAGAAGAAGAAGAAGAAGAAGAAGAAGAAGAAGAAGAAGAAGAAGAAGAAATAAGCACTTTCAAACTATCTTCTCAACAAGATAAAAATAAAGAAATGAACCCCTGGCAATGGGCAAGGAGACATCTGGTTGGTGGTGGTGCTCTTATATCAGTCAGGGGCGAAGCTGATGTACAGTCAGTTCATCCTAGCTTGATGCCTGTGTGGGTGGCCAGAGCTGTTTCATGCCTGAGGCACATAAAATGAAAAAACAAAATAAATAAGATAAAGAAATGATCTTGAGAAGCAAAGGGGTCTTATCCTCATCTATATTTGAAGCTATTTTCTCTTGTTTACCAATCTGTATAATAAATATAAACCCACAATATCCTCAACAAAAATAAAATGATGACTGTCAGTCATGCCCAGGCTATGTGGACAGCATTCATTCACTTACTTATTAAATGATTGTTTACTTATTTTATGTGTGAGGCAGGCACTGTGCTAGATTATGGTGTTCAGAAAATAGTATTTCTTTTTTTTTTCTTTTTCTTTTTTTTTTAATATATTTTTATTGATTTTGTACAGAGAGGAAGGGAGAGAGATAGAGAGTCAGAAACATCGATGAGAGAGAGTCATTGATCAGCTGCCTCTTGCACACCCCCTACCGGGGATATGCCCGCAACCAAGGTACATGCCCTTGACCGGAATTGAACCTCTCAGTCCCCAAGCCGATGCTCTATCCATTGAGCCAAACCGGTTTTGGCAGAAAATAGTATTTCTTGAAGACAATAAACTGTACAAAAGGTAAGGATAAACTAATGACACCTGCACAACTTCAGTTCTACTTTACCTACAAAGTATAAAAGCAGTAGGATGGGACTCATTAGCATTATGCCTGTAAACACTGTTTATTGTTGCAGAATCCACATTTTCAGTTACCATTTTTTTAAAAAAGATTTTTCATTATGGTAAGCTTAGTAAAACAAAGTACTTTGTTTAGAATATACGAAGGGTTGGAAAAATTCATGGCAAATAAAGAATATGTGCAAACAAATATTTTTTTTCTCATTTTTCTTGTTTTCTAATGTTGGGTTTTTTGAAATGTTTATTCGTTTTCTCCCTGCTCACTCTCACCACCCATCTATTTCTATTTATCCTATTTCTTGTTCTTATCCACCAAGCCCTGATCTTTATCAAACAACTAGAGGCCCAGTGCACGAAATTTGTGCATGGGAGGGGGTGGTCCCTCAGTCCGGTCTGCACCCTCTCCAATCTGGGACCCTTCAGGGGATGTCCAACTGCCAATTTAAGCCCAATCCCTGTGGGACAGTTGGACATCCCTCTCACAATCCAGGACCACTGGATCCTAACTGCTGGCCTGCCTGCCTGATTGCCCCTAACTGCTTCTACCTGCCAGCCTGATGGCCCCCTAACTGCTCCCCTGTCAGCCTGACTTATGCCTAACCACTCCCCTGTGGGCCTGATTGCCCCCAACTGCCCTCCCCTGCCAGCCCAATGGCCCCCAATTATCCTTCCCAGTAGCAACCTGCCTCCTCCACCCCGCACAGTACCATGGGACCCCGAGGCCTCACTGTGTGGTGCAGTTGCTGGTCCTGCCTCTGCTGTGCTCATGGCCATCTTATAGTGGCCATCTTGTGACAGCCATACTGTGGTGGCCATCTTATAACAACATCTCACACAAGGGCCACCTAGGCTTTTATTAGTATAGATGGGTGAGTGGGGAATAGAAGGCCAGGAACAAAGGTCATGCTGTGAATATATTATGAGCATGAGTGAATGAAGTCTTCTGATTAGGGTTGGGGATTTGATAGACAGGTGGAAATCAAAGGTTAAGGGACCTTAAGACCTGAGTCTAAGAATAGGAGTAAGGGCTTCATACATTAGACTTTTTAAAATTATTATTCTTTATTTCAGAGAGGAAGGGAAAGGGAGAGAGAGATAGATGAAAGAGAATAATTGATCGGCTGCCTACTGCATGCCCCACACTGGGGATCGAGCCCACAACCCAGGCATATGTCCTGACTGGGAATCAAACCATGATTTCCTGTCTCATAGGGTGATGCTCAACCACTGAGCCACATCAGCTGGGCAACATTAGACTTGTTTTATGAACAACATCAAGAATCATTTAAAGGAAGAGAAGAATCGATGAGAGTCATTGCCCACACAGCCTACTGAACGGAGCCGTATTGAAATACAGGTCCAGCAAAAGGTCCAGTGGAGATGCTGGTGGGGAGGGGTGAGAGACCCTGAACCTTAATCCTTCCCCATCTTACAGGTGTCACTGAGTGATCAGTGGACCTTCTACTCTCCACTTGGACCCTGCTTAGTTTCACTCAGACATTTTCTCATGTATGAATACAAACATTCCAATCATAATTTTACCAATGGAGATAAAATGGATCACAAAGTATTTATTTATACAACACCATTAAGTCTATTTAATTTCTTGATCAATTTTCTTCAAAAGGCCATTAAGCCACTTCAATAGAGGGTGGAGAAAAATAGGTTTACAGTTGTTTGTATGAAAAATAATACAACAATCAATAAATAATACAAGAATGAGCTCTGTGCTTCTTGTACTCACCACTATAAACCTACTTTTGCCCATCCTGTATTTTCTTTTCTCTTTTAAATAAAAATGTTTTTTATTGATTTGAGAGAAATCAAGGTAGAGAGAGAAAGATCTAGGTGAAAAAAGCATCAGTCAGCTGTCTTCTGAATGGGGATTGTGCCTGAAACCCAGGCAATTGCCCTGACCGGGAATCAAACCCACGACCTCTCAGTGATAAATGAACACTCTCATACACAGTCTGCTGACGAAGAATATTTTTCTTTCTCTTTTTTTATTTATCTTTATTGTTGGAAGTATTACAGATGTCTACTGTGTGTGTGTGTGTGTGTGTGTGTGTGTGTGTGTGTGTTTCCTCATTGACCCCTCCTCCCTGCACCTGCCCCTCCCGAGCCTTAGCCACACTGTTGTCTGTGTCCTTGGGCTATGCATATATGCATATAAATTCCTCAGTTAATCTCTCCTCCTCTACCTTCATCCCCATCTTCCTTCTGAAATTCATCAGTCTGTTCATGGTTCTGTCTCTGGAAAGGTTGTGCTAACTCTCGATTTTATTTACCTTTTCATTTTATTTTGAAGATAGGACTGAAGCAACAAAGGGTTTGAAACAAACCTGGAGCAGACATGCTTCTAGTGGTGTATAAGAAATTTTCTTTAACAGCCAATTTCTTGATTTATTGTATATGTTAAGAAGGACAGAGATGCAGCAAGGTCTACATCTTTAAGTGTGTGTCTCTGTTGGAACTTAATATGCATATTTGAGGAATGGTGGGAAGCCATGGCAGCTTCCAGAGCTGGAGATGTGCGCAGGAGTTCTCCGCGCTGCTCCGCACTCTTCCTTTGATGTCCCTCCTTGCATCTGTGCTCCCCTTTCTTCCATATCACCTCTCCATCAATCAAACATGACAACTGCAGATTAAGTTATGTCTAAATACTTCATTTGATTTCTAATGGTCTATAGATACAACATAGTTCATTTAACCATTCTCCAATTCCGTCATTTTTAGTTTTTTATATAGCACCACATGTGAAAATCACATACTAACATCTCTGTGTGAGTCGGATTATAGAGTAGAATACTGAGACAAACAGTAAGAAAATATTTGAAGTAGTTGATTCACATAAGTAACTGTCTCCCAGAAAACCTCTGTCAGCATACTGTGTATGAGAGTGTCCATTTATCACCTAACTTCAATGCTCACCATTTTGTTCTTTTAACCTTTGCCAATTTGAAAGGAAAAAATAATAATTTGTGTTTTAATTTGAATTTTTTTTATCACTAGTCCACATGTGTCAAACACAAGGCCCGCGGGCCAAATCCGTACCTCCAGGCCTTGCAATGTGGCCCACACCGCGCTGTCATCACTGCACTCCGCTGCGTATCCATCACAATGACAGTTTATGACTGTTCAGTAAACCATTCGGCCCGCGATTTAGGCTGGATTTTAGATTTTGGCCCCTTCTCTGATTGAGTTCGACACCCCTACAGTCTGAACACTTTTCATATTTGCTGGAAATTTGAATTTCTTCTCTTGTGAATTGCCTGCTCATGTCTTTTATTAGAGCACTCACATCCTTGTTGCTGCTTTTAATAGGCCTTTCCCTCTATTGGGAGTATGTATCATTTACCATATATGTTGCAAACATTTCCTCTAAGTTGTCATGTTTTTGTGTTGTTGTTTTTAATCCCCACCAAAGGATATGTTTTTATTGATTTTTAGAGAGAGAAGAAAGGAAAGAGAGAAAGAGGCAGAGAGAGAGAGAGAGAGGAGGGAGGGAGGGAGAGAGAAACATTGATGTGAGAGAGACCCATCAATTGGTTGCCTCCTGAATACGCCCCAGCCAGGGATCGAACCCAAAACCTAGGTACATACCCTGAGCAGGAATTGAACCCTCAACCTTTTGGTGTACAGGACAATGCTCCAACCAACTGAGCCATCCAGCCAGGGCCTAAAAATAATAATAGCAAACACAAATACAGTTTTTCTGCGTGCAGACACTGCTCTAACGCACAGGTGTCACTACTGACATTTGGAGCTAGATAATTATTTGTGGGTAGGGGACTGTCCTGTCCATGGAGGAGTGTTTAGCAGCAGATGCCAGGAACAACCCTGCCCTGGTTTTGACAACCACCACCACAACAAAATGTCTCCAGACACCACTGGATGTCTCTGCGGAGACAAAACACTCCCCATTGAGAAGCACTGTGCTGCACACTTCACCTACATTAAGTCATTTAATCCTCAAAACAACCTTAGGAAATAGTCTCTATCATTGTTTCCATTCTACTGGCAGCAGACCCGCCCTGTTCTAGGTAATCTAATCGCCCGGAGAGTGGCTTTT